GTCCTGTGCTCTGATATGATCAAGAACAGATCCTGCCCCTCCTCTGTATAACAGCCTTTCAAGTACAGTGGTGCCTCACTTAACGATCGCTCCGTTTAGTGACGAAATCGCTTAGCGACGCTGTTTTTGCAATTGCAAAAGCGATTGCTTTGCGATGTTCTCTATGGGGAAATTTCGCTTTGCGATGATCGCAGGGAAGCGATCATCGCAAAGCACCCATTTTCGCACAGCTGATTGGCGGTTTCAAAATGGCCGCTGGAGAAAAAACATGGCCGCCCGCTGTGCTTAGGGACGGATTCCTCACTTTAGAGGCACCGAAAATGGCGGCACTATGGAGGATCTTCGCTCAACTGTGAGTTTTAAGCCCATAGGAACGCATTGAAGGGGTTTCAGTGCGTTTCTATGGGCTTTTTAATATCACATAGCGACGTTTTCGTTCTGCAGTGATTTTTGCGGAACGAATTAACATCGCTAAGCGAGGCACCACTGTATTTAAAAAGTGCTATCATATCTCTCCTCGGTTTTCTTTTCTCAAGGCTAAACATGCCCATTTCTTTCAGCCTTTCATCATAAGCCTTGGTTTCCAGCCCCCTGGTCATCCTTGTCGACCTCCTCAGAACTTGTTTCCATTTGTTCGCATCCTTCTTGAAGTGTGTTGTCCAGAACTGGACACAATACTCAAGGTGAGGCCTAACCATTGCTGAATAGAGGGGGACAAGCACCTCACGGGATTTTGAGACTACGGTATACTTCTATTTCATATCTGAGTCTGTACCAGAACAGACCTATTCCGACACCCAGCGACAAATTCTATGGTGAACACACATAAAAAAACATGTTCACTATTATTATTATTTTATTTGTTGGTATTAGTCAGATATTGATTTTATATTTCCTCAAGGTGGCACATGAGGGTAGCTTCTTCCCCACTTTTTTCTTACAACAACCTTATGAGGTAGGTCAGGCTGAGAGCTGTGAGCGGCCCATGGTGAGCTTCATGACCAGTTGGGGGCTTAAACCAAGTTCTCTCAAGGCACACTGATGTCTTTTGATTTTAAAGCAAACTAATTTAGGGTTAGCAGGGTTTGGTAGCACTTCTATACTGTGTTGGTAACAAGGGGATCTTGGTCAGCCTGGCTTTGCATGCTGCAAGATTTTGAAAGACCGGTTTTGCACAGTCAAAGGTCATTGATCTACTTGCCTGAAACATTTTTGCCCACCAGGGAGAAAACTTCAGTTCATAACTAAACAAAAGGCTAATGGAAAAAGGCATGCCCTGATTTCAATATGGAAAAGCTGTTTAGATACAGGACCTCTTGAAATCCAGTACGTCATACTGGAGTGTCAAGGGTAGGGTTGGCGTTAACCAGCTACAAATCCCCACTTAGCTAGAATGTTCCCCAGGTGATTTCCTGCTAGTCGTTCTCAACTAGACTACCTCACAGGTTTGTTGCTGGGACCAAAAAAAAATATGCAGAACTTTGTATAACTCTCTTGACCTCCTTGGAGGTTGGTTGGGAAAGTCATGCATTCATCTTTGGGAATGATTTTTGCTGCACTCTTTTCCTTTATCAGCTCTTTGGCTCAGTAAAGTACTCGGTAGATATTGGGTTTCAGATCTTCAGACTGGGTGAAACCAAAAGTTAGAGTGGAAGAGCTTTTATGGCGTTAGATCCTATTTTTCATACTGCAGCTGTCAAAATCTGATGATTGATCTGTACTATATCAATTCAGTTTCGTGTTTGCACATTTGTATCAGAATAAAAAAGTCTTCATTCATCCCACAGTAGTGCAGATTCGTGTTGTTTGGACAATGATTCGCTGCTATGGTGCCTGCAGTATTCTGGGAATTGTAGTCCAAAAATACATATTGGCACACCTCTAATTCAGCCATTCTCAACCCTTTTTTATGGCCTCGGTCATTTTAGGAGCTCTTCTCAGGCTCCAGGCCCCCCTGTCAGATGATACAACACCAGCCTTTCATAAATTTCTACATTTTTTTAATTCTGTGACTCCTTTCAGATTTGCCAGCTCCCCCCACCCCGGGAGCCCCATGTGGCACCCATAAAGAATGGCTAATTCATCCTATTTGGGGAGGGTGGGGATAGAACCTGGAGCTTTTTGCTGAGCAAGGCGTGTGCTCTTCCGCTGGACCTACAACTCTTTTGCCCTTGAGTCCTTGAAACGGCAACCATGGCTGAAGGGCTTCAGGCAACCGGTAATGGGATAACCTAAAAGACATACCGTATGGGTGCGGTGCATGTGCTTAATGATTCATCTTGCAGTTGCTATGGCAAGGCAAGACAAGACTATAAATAAGTGTCCCTGATTCAGTTCATTTTGTCTTGCGTAACATAACACCTTCCACTTTAAAGGGTGCTTCTCTGTCGGGGTGGGCAACACATGGTCCAGAAACAGCAGGTGAGCTCCCCTCCATCCCCGTTTGGTTTTGTGGGCCCTTTTTGGACATTATCTGAGAACTTCTTGATGGTGCTAAATGTTGAGTAGGACACAAATTGCGCTCCCACTGGCCAGCATCCCTTTTAACACCATGGAGCGTCACTCCACACAGTGTTTCTTCAGTCCTCCGGAAATTCCTATCGTGCGAGGCAGAGATTGTCCCATTGAAACGAAAGAGTTTACATTTGTGCATGGAGGCTTTGATGCCTGCTCTTTGTGCTAGCCTGGGAAAGCTCAACTGCTCACACAAGAGAGCTTTGAATGAAGAGAACAAGCTTTTTCTGGCCACTAAAACCAAAGGGATAAGTTAATTGTGAATTAATTTGAATGGCTCTGGTTTACTCATGCCTATATTTAGGAATCTAATACAGTATTTTGTTCCAAACAAATCTTGACTAAACCATGAAACATTCCACTGTTATTTATTTATTTATTTGGTTGGTTGAATTTTTATACCACATTCTTGCCCACTACTTAATGATCTTTAGAAATGGAAAACTTCCTTTCTGTTTGCGTGCAGAAAGAAGAGAGGGAAAATTTTCTGTTTCTTTTCAATTGTTGCTACATGATACATCACATCAGCGATGCTTTGAAAGGCAATTTCAAACTACAGGGTGGGGAAACCATTTCAAAGCATCACTTATGCTTTAGCAACCATTAAAAAAGAAATGGAAAAGGACCCCTCCCTCCCCCTCTGCAGGCAAGGTAGAAAAGAAGCCTCCTGTTTCTCAAGATTTTTAATAAAGGGACAGGCAGGCAGCTGCTTTGGTTTGACCCCAGTGATCACACTTGCTGTAACCAAATAAATACAGAGCAGTCCTACCCACGGTAAAAAAACAAAACCAGCAACAGTCGCCCCTGACAGCGATCCCACAAGCTGCAGGTATGGGCTGGTGTATAATGATGACATACTGTATATATCATGTAGTCAGTGGGAAAAGGGGCAAACTACCCAATCCCCAACCTAGACAAGACCAGAGGACCAATGCCTGTCTGATCACACCCTCGGTGCTGTAGCCCATGATTGGGAGTATTAATACACCTAAACAGAGTCAGTAACCAACTTTCTGTAATGTATTATGGATACAAAATAACTGTCTCCATTCACAGACTGTGACTTCTGTCCCAGAAACAATTCTTGGCATTTCTGGCATACAGTTTTATCGCTCTGATCAGGACCTGCTAATTCACATTATTAACAGTTCGATTGTCCCATTTCCATGTTAATGAACCATTGTCACATTATTTAATATTTGTATCCTCATCTGTTCATGGCAGATAAATGTGACTATAAAGGACATGTATATGGCTTTCCTGGAGCATTAAGATCTCTGCCTCCCTTTTACCATCCTTTTTTGCCATCCTCTCCCTCACCCCCTTTTACCACCTTCATTGCCATCTGTTTTAATTTACCCTATTTGCTTATTTGGAATTACTTTATTTTTAATCGTGTTTTAATATTGTTGCTGATATTGTTGTTAGCTGCCCAGAGTGGCCTGGTTGCCAGATGGTGCGGGATATAAATTCAACCAACCAACCAACTAACCAGTCAATCAATCAATGCAGTTCTGGTGTCTGAAGAAATGGATTTTGTTCCACCCAAAAAATGACACTGTTAATCTTTGAATATAATAATATTTTGCTTTGTTTCTCCTCTCTCTTTTTTATTTCCCCCCCTGCTCTTTAATTTTGCCAACAGACTGGGTGTACGGAGACTGTGAAAAAGCACAAGTCAGCATGTGAAGCTGCATTAAATCTTATATCTGTAGCAGTGATAAGAATGAATGTATTGAAATCAGCTGAGTTATGAAATTATTTGGAAGCTACTGAAAGAAAGGGGCAATTCAGTTTAATTTTTATTGAAAATGATGGACTTTCATTTTGTGTGTTTCACATTATATATTCCTCCGTATTCAAGGTGGGGTGAGCATTATGGTGCTGCTTCGCCTTACATAGGTTGCAGAGTTGGGGGAAGGACGCTTTCCCAGTTGCCCAAAAGTGGCAGAACTCACCTAGCCAGGGGATATAAGGTAGTTCTTGATTCATGTCCCTATAGCGCTGGGAAATGTATTGGTTGACCTCCGGCCACCCATCTCTCTCTTTCTCTCTGAGACTGGAGGAGACCCAGGTACACCACCTAACTTAATAGAGAAAAAGTTGGGTATTAATGTAAATAATAAGTAGTAGCAAATTAACATCTCTCCAAATCTTGACTACCAATTTGTGGGTGAAATCCTGTTGGTGTAACTACATCTATGGAAGGCTTGATGATGTCATCAGCACAGAGTGTGGGAAATTAGAACACTTCCTATGTCTGTTCCATGACTATTGTAACCTTTCAGTGGCTGGAATCCTGTTGTTTAATAAGTCATAACTAGAATAGGCCCACTGAATCAGTGGGGATTTGGTGAATCAACTCTTTTGTAAACTCCATTGATTCAGTCGGTCTATTCTAGTTGCGGCTTACTATGCTAAGTAACAGGATTTCAGACTGTGTGGGAGCTGCAAGATAGAAGGAGGCAGTCTTTAATTATTGAAAATCACCACTGCTAGGATGACATGATGGTATTAACAGATGTAGTTACATCAACAAGATTTCGTAGTATTGATAGTAACAAATATTAGATGCACATTTAAAATCTGGGTTTGAGCTGGAAAGTTAATTTGTGAGGACTAAAAGGTGTCAAATCTTGGGTTCAGATTTTGGTTGACTATCAGAAAAAAAACTTCCTATCCATTCAGAGCAGTACGGCAGCAGAACAGATTACCTTGGAAGGTGGTGAGTGATCCAACACTGGAGGCATTCAAGAGAAACTTAGATAACTACCTGGCAGATATCCTTTGATTTGTATTCCTGCATTAAGTAGAGGGGTGGACTCGATGGCCGTATAGGCTCCTTCCAACTTCATTATTCTATGATTCTGTGGAGTTCTTCCCCCCTTAATTCTGCTAAAGCTTTTAGTGTCACTTTATGATATAAATTTAAGCAGTGATATAAAATAAACTAGATTGTTAAAAAACTCTTTGCACTGGAATCTGTATCTAATTTGATATTTAAATATATCCCACTAGCCTACTGCAACTGAACATCATAGTTTACGAACTTATAAAAGTAATACAAGGTGTTTGACTCTTGTTATCTGTCTGTCTGTCTATTTTGCAGTTCAAAGTGATGTACGAAAGGACGAGTTTTATCAAAGTTGTTATAAGCCACTGTATGAAGTTGGTAAGTAGGTTTCTTAGTTTCCTGAATTTCAGACCAAAGCTTTATAAAGTTACTTTTTGGGGCTACAGCTACCAAAATCCAATAGACAGCATTTTGAGATGTACTGAATAAAAATTGAATTAAATTTTTTAAAACTCATACAAGTTCTAGTGTAAACCTGAGCAAAGAAGCAGTTTGAGGGCAGGATTCAACAGGTCAGGTGCCTCCTGAATTAAAGGACTCGGAAACTAAGGAGCAGACTTTGGCTGTAGTTCTATTCATGAGAAAGGACACGGGACTCAAAAAGTGGTGGGGCAGAGGTTTGCATATAAAATCCATCTCCCCTGTCGTTCCCTCCCCACATCCAGAAGTCCTGCGGACCTTTGTGTGTTCAGCGTGAACACACAGGCACTGTAATCATGTTCTTACACCACTTCTGTGAGCCTTATCAGGGCCCGTCGTTCACAGAAATGCTATGATTGTCTTGAGTTGAACACTCTTCTAGCACCTTTGCAGATGTTTACACTGGACCTATGAAGATCCGCAAGAGTTCCAGAGGGAAGGGATATGGGGATTAGCTGCGTCCTCATCTTCCCAACACCCTTTCAGTCCTATACCCTTCCAGGCTGAACTCCTAAAGTGTGTGGGTTGGGAGTGGAGCAAAAGGTAGAAGTGGCAAAGCAGAAGCTAAGCATGAAGTGACCAGGTTCAGTGGAAGGGCACGTACTTTTCATGCAGGTTTATCCAGGTTCTGTTCTTAGCATCTCCATTTAAAAGTGTTGGGTACCAAATGATGGGAAAGAACCTCCTTGGCCTGAGAGCTTCAAGAGCCACGGCCAGATGGAGCCAATAGTAGTGGGCTATATAGACTGAGAGCCTCACACCATTAATTTATCTGAGGATTTACATGAAATCTGTGTAGATCCGGGTGGTGAACCTTTGAACATCTAGGTGTTTTGGACTTTCAGTGCCTGGCACTTCCATTGCACAACCAGCATAGTTACTGTATGACATTTTGGGTTATTGGAAAGCCAGCTGTGTTCCTTAGGCCTACTATACAACCCAAACTGGCAATTTAAATCATCCCCATACTGGCTTCTCTGTTCAAGGAACTATAATCAGACAAACTGCAGGAGAGAAGTAGAAAATTGCCCTCTGCTGGTAATGTCATCAGCCTTATGCCAGCATAATTTAATTTTTCTGTGTATAAGATGCTACTTTTTCCCAACGTAGACTAAAAAAATTGAAGGTCATCTTGTACACGGAAGTAAGCTGAACCACTGGCACACAGATCTCTCTCTGTGGGCACGCGAGCCATGCCAGTGTCTTTCTATGGGCACGCGAGCCATGCCAGTGCTGCTGCCCATGCCAGCCTGGTGCAGGGTGCAGTGCCACTCGCTGCCAGGGCTCAGCTGGAGCTCAAGCTGCCGCCTTGTCCCCCACAACTGGCACTGGAAGCGGTGATTAGGTGGTGACAGCAGCAGGAGGAGGAAGAGGAGCTGTCCACCCTTCAGCGCAAAATCGCTGCTGCCCATTGACTGTGAATCCAGCGCTGCAGGAGAGCGAGCGAGCGGAGCACAGCTCAATGCAGGAAGCCCGGGCAAAGGCCCTGCCTATATTTGGGAAGGGGGGAAACGGCATCCCCTGGCTGCCCTCTGAAGGACGCGCTGACCCAGAGGGTGCCCACTGATTTGGCCACTTGGACTCAAAAAGGTCAAAATTGGGGGGGGCGTCTTATACAGAGAAAAACATGGAATGCAGCAGGAATTTGTTTGTAAATGTTGGTGAATATTCTCATGAAGAATCCACAAGTTTTGCATGCTCCAACCAACACTCAAATATCTTCCTTGTGGGTGTCTGTGAAATGAGAGCCAGCTCTCAGGTGGGTTATACTCTTTATTGTGCCACAGACATACTCAGCAGTGCCCTCTCACAAGAGCCAGTGTGGCGTAGTGCATAGGGGGACAGACTAGGATCCAAAGACCTGGGTTTGAATCTTGGCTGTGGAAACTCACTGGGGATGGCAATAGCAAAACCACTTCTTAATTATCTCCTATATCTTGAAAACCCTATTAGAATAACTATAAGTCAGATGCAACTTGACAGCATGAAGCATACACACTGCACCCTATTAAATACAAGACAAGACAGTTCCCTCTACACAGTCATTTAATTGTCTGGAAAAGTTGATTGCGTAGGTGCACTAAATATGCTGCTTTCTTTTCTTGTGTCTTTCCCCCTCTCTCCTGCAGATGCCCAAAAAGCCTTTACATCAGTGAAGAAAGCTATCGTGTTTTATAACCAAAGGAACGCTAATTGGGGAATTGATTGAAAGGCAATAAAATTCTGTTTCCTAAGTCAGTCAACGAAGAAAGCCTCTTGAGATGTCTTCTTTTGTAGATGGTTTCAAACAACGTCTTTGATTGGGAAACCAGACATGTATATTTGCCAGTGGTTGCTTCCCCCCAGGGCTATCATTAATGGAACAGGGTCAGTTTCCATCCTGATCTGAAATCTGTTTGAAAACAATTAAACCACCACGCTGCTGATGAAAGAGTATCATCATTGCATAAAGAGACAATTGAAACTGACACTTCCTTGTATCAAGCTGAACATCAGTGTCATATATGCAGGAGCGTAAGAAAAACCACCACCACGTGCTGTTAAAAACAACCTGTTGATTATCTGACGTAATGAAAGGAAAAAAGAAAATTGCCTTAAGATGTCCGTCCATTGGAAAATACCTTTGCAAAAAATTATACTGATCCTGAGGACATTTTGAGGGATCCAGTGGAAGAAGCCATGACACGCAAACTAGGGTACATGTACTTTGTGCATATCCTTTTTTGGTGAAATGCCAGCAAAAACAGTATTTTTAAAAAATTAAGAGTGCAAGGCCCAGACATGGAGGAAACAGCTAAAGGAATTCAGACTGAGAACATACAAACCACAGGAGCCTCAAATACAGAAAAAAACATCATGACAGACGAGAGCCCAGCCAAAAAGGCCTCCATCTTTTGCTTCAAGAAAAGGAGGAAAGCGGGTGAAAAGATAACAGAGAAAGATGACGATTGTGTATCGCTTTCCTTAAAGCCTGCGAACCAGGACTCCAACCTTGGAGGCATTGAGGCAGAAGTTTCAAATTCGCTGTGGTTTGCTTTCAAACGCCTAGTAACATTGAGAAGGCGATCCCGGTCTTCTCTGAAGAAGCCTACCCAGCCGGGTTCCTCTGTAGCGCTGGAGATTCAGGCTGAAGATTCTGCCACACTACACTGCCCTAAGGAGCACACCAGCCTTAAAATGCCTTGCTTGAGGTTCTCCAGAAGCAGGAAAAAGCCAAGCCGTTTGGAAATAACCGAGGAACTGGGGGAGAAAACAGATGAAACAACCAGCATCCTGAATAAAAAAAGTAACAGTGAATCTGAAACGATGGGCCTGGAAGGACCACTGAGCACTGAGCAGTCCCCCAGAAGAGTTCTTGAGGAGAGAGAAAGTGACGGTGAAGCCGTTAAAAACGTTGATAATGTGGGCGTGCCTGCTAGGGAGAACGAATTTGCGGTAGAGCCGAGGCCTGGTCGTGATTGTTACGCAGACTCTGTGGTTCAGTCAGAAATAATCCACTCTGAGAAAGCCCTTGAAACGGAACAGGAGAAACAGATCTTTCAGCTGCACCAGGGAAGTCTCTACGGAAACCCAGAAGAAGTAGAATCTGAGAAATTTGATTTCAAGGTTGATCTAGGCCCTCTCCTTCCTCAGGGCTTGTCAGAAACTGAGCAAAAAATCTTGGAAGAAGACGCCAAGGACATCCAGGCCACAGAAGCTAAGTTAGAACCAGTGGACGGGGTTGTTGATCTTGTAGACGGCAGGATCAGTGGCAAGGGCAGTAATGCTGTTGAAGTGATGATGCACGCCATCCCGTCAACGATGGAAGACGAGGTTTCCGTTTGTTCCGACGAGGAAGGGAGAAGTGAAGAAAACAGACCCATGATGATGCCCGCAGTAGGCATTGTGATCACAATCACGGAAGCAGAAGAATTCCAAGAGGAGGAAGAGCCCGCCCCGGTTTATGAACCTTTTTCATTCCCACAAGCCAGCAAAAAGAAAGGGAAGAAAAAAGCAAACAAAAGCGCAAACTCTGGCGTAGAGGGTTCCGGTCAGACGTGGGAAGGAAAAACACCTCCCAAGGTCCCATCGCCATTAGGCGCCAACGACCAGGAGCGCCGGACTTCAGAACAATACGAAGTGCTTCTGATTGAAACCGCTGCGTCTCTGGTGAAGGCAGCCATTCAGTCGTCCATCGAACAGGTCCTTAACGAAGTGGCTTTGGAGCAAAATAAACAAAACAGCTTTCTGTGATCACAAACCCTCCCTAATCGTTGGCCCTGCGAGTCTGGTAGCGCAAGGGCAGATGCTGCAGGCACCGGAGTTTGAGTACCATTATAATCTACTACTTAATTCTGTTAGGATGTTAGTAGGAGAGGGTTATTGGTTGGATTTTTTGCAGCTGTTGACAAAATTATTTGATTCGGGTCATGCCGGCTAATTCAGTATTAACTCGACAGGAAGTGCTATGAAAGTCCTGACATATTTAAACTCAGCATGTGAGACTAGAGAGGGTCTTAATCCTTTGGATATTTGCAGTGTCTGTGATTAGCTTTAATTTTGCATGTTGGTGAAACGAGTGTATCTTGTATGCAAAAGCAGGATATAAGAATATGAGGGCATTTGCTGCATGGTGACATGTGCCATTGGCTTGTTCTGTGTGACAGATCTAAGCAAGCCAGTCGTCCCTCTCTTTCTCCTTTCCCTGATCCATTTGTTTCATGCGCTTGCACCCCTTTCTTCATTGCTCATAAATTTCAATGCCTGAAGTTTCTCTGTTCATTACGTGGCAGCTCATGTTTCACGCCAATTTCTGTGAATCAATCTGCTGTTAAAGGCACCAGAGAAGAACTAGGTTTTTAAAAAATGAAATGGGAAGGCCATGCTAAAATAAGAATCGTATTATAAAACAGCAGTGGAAAATACAACTTGCAGTTGCAAAGAAAAGCCATTTCTGCCACAGAGGTTGCAAAATGTTAGAACATGCTCGGGCAGATGTTGGCATAATTTCACACAGAAAAGGGAGACCGGAGGGAGAGAAGAGCCCAAGGGGTGAACGGGAAGGGTTGTAATGAGCAGAGTGATGTGATGAGGAGGCCTTTTGCAAGAGGCTGTCCTGCTCCATCAGGCAAGTGAAGCTGCTGAACAGTGAAGTCCCACACCAAGGAAAGAGGGAAGCAGGAGCTATAAAACTCATCAAAGCAGACTCTCAGGCGAGGCTATCTAAAGTTGTAGCCAAAAACAACAACAACAACCCAAAGGTCCAGGCAGTTCAGAGCAGAGGGTTCACGCACACAGCTGAGCCCTTGGGCTTTCAAACAGGCCCAAAGGTCCAGGCAGTCCAGAGCAGACAGCTGAGCCCTTGGGCTTTCAAACAGGCTTGTGCCTTCTTCCATCCAAAGGGCTGGGAGGTCATCCCACCTTCTCCTCAGACTCAGCTGTTGAGCTTCTTTCAGCCATAGGTTCAGGCGCTTGGGTCAAGTGTCCTGGTTCTCTGAGGTCCAGGATCGCCAGGCTCCAGATGGTCCTCCATCCCATGAGGCTTTGGAGTCTCCAGTTCCTCAGATTCCTCTTTTCTTGAGGACTCTGCTGAAGTTATGGCAGAGAGCCCTGTCCTCCCCACCCACCCTAAGGAGCAGGGAGAGGGAAGGAACAGCGAAAATGATAGGGGTTGCGGAAAGAAGGGAGGGAGGGTCCACACACAGTGGCACTGGCTCCACCCATTATTTGCCTGTCGTGACCACCAGGGCAACTACCGCCCACTGTACCGACTCACCTTAAAAGAAATGAGCTTCCCCAACAACGGCATAGAAGAGGGGCCCCTGCTTCATGCCTTGAAAGGTAGAGATAATATGATGCTCTTGTGAAGAAGTCCAGTATTTGCACACTGAAGACCATATAGTGACACCTATCAGGCAGCAGTTTCCCTCTGCAAGTAAACAGAGGAAGCGCTCCATCTGCTTGCTTAGAAGGAAGAAGGCTACCCTTTCAGAAAAACTGCTTTTCCCCGTTGAAGCAAAT